CACTAGTTGATGTCACAATTTCAAATTGTTTGCAAAGCTTGAAAAATATCACGTGGGTTTATGCGACATAAAGATCCTTTTACTATTGTTTTCAACAGAAAAAAAAGGGATTGAGTAAACTTGATATTAAGAGACAAGATGTGATCTATGGTGAGTATAATCGTTTAGGAGTTTGTTGAGCAAATCACAAAATAATATGTTTTGTTGCTGTCAGTGCACTAGTAACTTGCCAAACTAATATTAATTTATTCTTTGTTCCATTTGTAGAAATGATACAAACAGAAAAGCATCATGTTCGGACATTGAAAATAATGCAGAAGGTAGAATCTTATTTAATTTTTAGCTCCGCTGTGGACTTTGTCGAACTTATCATCTGAGTGATTGTCTGTTGTCGTTGTCCATGTCAATGTTTTACTTTTTCGACTTCTTCTTGAAACTACAAGTCTGAATGCTTTGATACTTGGTGTATATGTACCTTGGGTAGACCTCTCTCAGATTTGATCATTTTGTGATGTTATCTTTAATTCTCTAATTTTGGTGAATATTTTTGTCAATTTTTGTAAAAAGTGATATTTTTGACTTTTTGTTAAGAACTGCAAGTTTGATTGCTTTGATATTACATATATAGGTACTACATGTGGACCTCTCTCAGATTTGTTCATTTCGTGATGATATCTTTGATTCTCTAATTTTTGTGAATATTTTTGTAATTTTTGGTAAAAAGTGATATTTTCGACTTCTTGTTGCAAACCGCAAGTCCGATTGCTTTTATATTACATATATATATACTACATGTGGATCTCTTTCAGATTTGTTAATTTCGTGGTGATATTTTCAATTCTCTAATTTTAATTAATATTTTTGTCTTTTTTGGTAAAAAGTTGTATTTCTGACTTCTTGTTAAAAACTGCCAGTCTGATTGTTTTGATATTCTATGTATAGGGATTTCAGATCTCTCTCTCATTTGTTCCTTTTTTAATGATATCTTCAGTCATTTAATTGAAATGTTCATTGCTAACAGCAGAGCTATCTCAGCCGCAAGGCTGCTTGTTTTTATTGTTCTTTAACATTTCTCATTCATGCCAGATTAGATTTTGTTGAAAGTTGTTACCATGACATATTTTTGTGGCCCTATGTTACTAAACTATGTTTGTAATTTTTATTATTTTTGTAGATATTTTGTCATGGAATGCGAAATGAGCTTAACATGGATCCAAACATCATTGATAAAATGTTCCCTATGTTGTCTGAGATTATTGAAATCAATACATCTTTCCTCAATGCACTTAAGTTTCGACAGGGTCGTTCTGTGGTGGTCGACAAAATTGGCGATGTGTTGGTTGAACAGGTCAGTGTTTTCACTTCAACCATTTATTCATATTTGACCTTTGACATTATCTACTTGAAACAATCGAAATAATACTTTTGGTTCTGTTAACAGTTTTCAGGTGAAAACGGCGAACGCATGAAATATGCATATGGTATTTTCTGTGCTCATCAAGCAGAAGCAGTGGCTATTTACAAAGAATACAAGTCTGACAAGAAATTCCTGGCATTCATCAAGGTAGAATACGAGTAGTGTTTTATTGGACTGGATGTAGAATCAGCTTGACATTCAATATGGCCACTATTTTGATTGCTGTTGTAATATTTAAATTTGTCTCTTAGTAATATGTGGTCAAAACATTTGTAAAAGTTGATGTTGTTTGCTGATTGTTGTGGTATACAAGTAATATCTCTACATTTAGTTCTATCCTATAGACTGTCACACTGTGACATCATAGGTTTTCATTTTGCCAATCAGCATGCAACTAATCTTTAATCTTTGAGTTTGAATGACCGGTCATTGTCACAATGCACATGTACCAAAAACGTAGACAAGTATGACAGCCTGTAGTGTTTTTCATGATTGAGATATTACTAAATATAGAACTGACTTAACCAAATAGTGTTGTTCAGTTTATGAAACAGATTAAATACAGACAACAGTAGTTTCAACCTCAACTTGTAGTGAATCTGAAGGAAGTTTACTATTTGTGATATTCACAAAAGTTACAACTTGTTTTCATTTTATTATTTTGAAGAAATGTAGTCAGAATACACTGTGTCGACGGTGGTCCATCCAGGAATGTATTTTAGCAGTAACACATAGAATAACTAAATATCCTCTATTGATTGAAGCAATCATCAAAGCTACTAAAGGTATTCTTTTTTTCATTCTGTTTTATACCAGTTTATACCAGTTTATTTCAGTTTGGACCAGTTTATACCAGTTTGTACCAGTTTATTTCAATTTGGACCAGTTTATTTCAGTTTGTACCAGTTTATACCAGTTTGTCTAGTCCTTCATATCATTAGTGACACAGTTTTGTCAATGTCACTGTATTGTATTCATGTTCTTATGCAACTGGGAAAAGTATGTCTATGACCATTATTTTAATGATCCAGTATATAATAAAATGATGCAATTTTTGTTTGCCTTTATTGGTTATGTGTTTCTAATAGAACAAATGTTTATAATAATTGTTAGTAACTTTTTACATTCTAAAGTAAATACTCTCTAACATGAGTTCATGAAAATTTAAATTATTTCAAATTTTTCTCCTCAGCAAACAAGGCAGATTATCCTCTGCTGCAAGAAGCCAATACATTAGTAAAGGTATGGTCAAACACTTTTGTTTTTTTGGGAAATTCCACTACATTTTATAGGATTATTATAGTTTTGCATTCCCTCTATGCAAATATATAAAACATCACTCCAAGTATAAGATAAAAATAAAAAATGATTTAGTTAAAAATTAAGATGAATTAAAAGTACTGTAAAATCTGTTTTAGAAACCATGGCTCTTATTAAAATGGTACAATGCAACAGAATGAATACGACTTTTATTAGAGCATCTACACATATGACGAAACATGAATTTTTGTATCTCATTTGTTAAATAGAATTAATTCTCACCTATTGGTCAAAAGTTAATGAGGCTGACAAGATTTGGGTCAGGTCCTAATCTGCAAGCCATTTTGAATTTTAAAAAAAATTATCGAAATACACACTCATGCATTCAATCTTTGTACTTTCAAAAGCCAATCACAAGAAATTATTTT